TATATGGTATTTCAGAGAGCAGTGGTGGTGAGTACTGCACTGACTGCTGCCAGGGAGGAGCCAGTCTGTCCTCCTGTGCTTCCATCTCCCACATCCTCGGGGGAAGCAGAAAGTGGAGCATTGGTCTTTTTACAGCAGGAGCTGATCAAACTTTTACCAGCAGAGGTTTGGGCTGACAGCAGCAACACGAGCTGTGGTGGCATCAAACTAATTTCAGAAAGCAGGGATCTCTGAGTGTCTGAATTTTGCCATCATTGTTCCATCTTTCTTTACCCTGKCCAGTGAGAAAGCTGCAGGAGTGCAACTGAAAGTGGTGTCTCATGCACTGCTTTTTAAAAACCCAAGACCAACTTGTGACATAAATGGTGCCTGCATGAAACAGAAAGTACCCTGACCAGAATTGATGTGAATATGTTTTCAGGGTGAGCTGTTATGGCCAGTTTAGTTCCTCAGCTCTCAGCTGAGTCTCATGGAGCAAAACTGAAACTGCTAATAAAAATGTCTGGTTGTGATGCTGGGTGGTAATTCTGGCACACTTGCGACCAAACTCATTTGGAATGTTCAGTTATTTTTACAACATAAAAATGGAATTTTCAAATGGTGCCCCTTTTTTTTGGAGCTGCTTTTGAGTTTCTAGAGGGTTTCTTCAAGTCAAATAAGTCCAAAACTGTTGTTTTCGAGATCTCTGAAGTATAGAAAAATGTGTGGCAATCAACCATGCTGCTTTTTCTCTCCAAGGTTTTTCCACCTGCTTTCAGAGAATTGCCTCCACCGGCTCTGGAGCTCTTTGACTTGGATGAAACYTTTTCCTCTGAGAAAGCACGACTTGCAGAGATCACAAACAAATGTAAGTGGAGCAGATCGATTGTTTACACATTTATATAAAATGTTTGAGTTTTTAGAGGAAAATTTTTATGTTTAATTTGAAAGCATGGACCTCATTTGGGAAAATCCACTGCTCTCGTCCCAATCCAAGAAATTGAAAGGCTTTGGAAATTGATAGCGTGACTTTATGTACTATGACATTATATTTTGTCTGGTTTTTGACATTTTACTATGCTTCTGCCTGCTGTTTCCTATATTGTGCATAAATTGCTTTGTGTACTCTAGTGATGAATTTCACATCTTTTCTATGCTTTGAAGTTAAAATGTTAAGATTATTTTAAAGACCTGAAGAAGATGAGAAGGTACTGGCTGCAGGAGTCCACCATGGCTCATCCATTGAGCTTGGTTATAGGGCTGAACCTCTCAGAATGCCAACAGCAAATGGAGATTCAGAGCAGGTTTTTGGCCAGCTGCTCCAGATGTGTGATACTCACCTGCATTCCTTCCTGGCTGCTCGTTTAGGCACTGATGATGACCTGGAGTTTTACGTACGGAAATGCGGCGATATCCTGGGAGTGACGAGCGAACTCCCAAAGGAGAAGCAAGATGCCAAATACATCCTGGAGCACATCTTCTTCCAAGTGGTCGAGTTTAAGAAACTGAATCAGGTATTTTTGATAACAAATTACAAGTGAGTAGTTGATAGCAGCGCTGAAGGTGGTGTGTCATTGTAGCAGCTGCACTTGTCACAGGCAAGAGGAACGGTGCTGCAAGAAATTAGTTGTGCAATAAATTAAACCAATGAAGTGTGATCCAGAATACTTATGACTGTTAATCTCTTTAAAACATGCAAGTGCTTAATTTATTAAGTCTCTCATTTATTTTAATTGGGAGATTAATACATGCAAGTRTAGTTTGTAATTGCAGCTAAGTCAGTTCATTCCTGGTGGCCGAGTGAAAGCAGCGTGTCCTCAGTAGTGTTCACAGCTCTGGCCACTGCTGCAGTGCAGAGGTGAAACCAGCATTGTTCCTCAGGAGTACTGAAATTATTCCTCATAGTAGATTTGATGCTTCCAAGTGTGTTTGGAGCACGTTGGCAGAGCAGCAGTTTGTGCTAACAAGAATTCCCTGTTTCACACATGGTCTAGTTAAGCCAAAAATCTTACAGTTCTATCCTGTTGTTAAAACTCTTTTTTCTTATTTTTTTTTTCTTCCAGGAACATGATACTGACCCAAGTGAAGCTGGATTCCAGAACAGTACCTGAGACATGGCTTTCCTCAGTTTGAGATAGACCTGTTAGTGAAAATATATTTTTCCATTTTATAAAAGCCTCTCTTTTCAGTATATTGATTGGGACTGTCTCAGTAGTTCACTGAATGCTTGGATCATTTATATGTGGTAGTTCAGACAATTAATGCCTTCTGGAGAACTGCTTGTATTTCACAAGCACTTTCCAAAGAATTTGTTATTTTTCTACTTCTTTATTGAAACTGTAATTTTTTAATATATTAAAAAYATAATATACCAAGAAAATGTGATTTGGGTCCTTCTTTCTGACTCCAGCATAAATTTTCTTGTAGTAAGTCTTTCTGTTGGTGTACATGAAGTCCTTAATTGCACTGTGAGAAGGATTTTTATTTTGATTTGTGAACGGAGGACAAAAATATAGAGACATATTTTTAACAGCAGCTGCTGAAAATACATTTATCATCCTGAGGCAGCCTCCTTTTGTCTCTCTGCCAAAGAGAACTAAGGAGAGGTGAGTTTGCTACTGTAGAAAGAAAATATTTCTTCCAAGAGAGGGGAGGATTTGAAATKAAGCAATAATGACATTGTTGCAGATCACTGCCTCACATCAGACTGGAACTGCCATTACTGGAATTTTAAACATGGAGGACAGTACATGGATRAAAACATTAAGATTTAATGGATCATTATTAAGAAACTGTGATACTGCACAGAAACTCAGGGATATTTTTACTTGCAGTTTTTTGATATCTAGCCCACGCCCTGAGGTGGTGAGTTCAGTATGCACAGAAGTGGAAATTCAGGTTAAATCCATTGACCRTGAAATGTTGAAGCTCAATGCACAGCAAAAATAGAGTGAAGRAGATCAGTGGTGAGAAGAAAAGATTTGTCCACATCATCAACACCACATCTCTATTTAAAGGATTTTTTATATATTAACATGGTGAAATTGCATTATAAAGCTATTTTTGGCTGTCAATCTGACACTCAAATGGTTAAATGCTTCCCCCACTCAGGCCTTCCATGACTCCTGTGCTTTAGCTTGCTCTGCTGTGGTTTAACATCAAAGGTGCTTTTTGCAAAGAAAACTCTTCATTTTTTTATCCCTCCAAAATATGATTTTATTTTACACTTCTTCATGGTTCACATGCCATCTTGGCACAAGTTTTTCTAAAGGAGGTGCCCCAAAACCCCTGCCAGGTTCTTGCCCAGCTGAGATGTCCTAATAGGATGTTAGCAGAAGTTGTATCTCTTCCTACACTGCAGACATTCCCTTCTCACAGCAGCACATTGGAAAATCTTCATTTCTTCCTCTGTTTTCCTTTAAGGCTGTGGTTGTGTTTGTCACCCAGAGCACTTTTTGTACATTCCAGCTGCAGATTTACACAACAAGTTTAATCTCTCCTGTGCAGTATCAATAGGAATCAGCCAGCCAGCACAGACTGCAGCTGAACCAACCCCCGAGGTGCACCTCTTGGTAATTATAGCTCTGGTTTGTACTCTTCTGGGGTGTTTATACTTCAAACTGTAAATACTTTCTCTTTCCCAGCCCTGTTTCAGAGTTGTTTTGTCACCTGTTTCCTGATGTTGTAACATGATTTAGAACAAAAGTCATGTGAGCAGCCAGGGGATACAAGCAGCTCCCTGTTTTCTGTGTCTCTGAGGCTGCTCKGACAGCTGAAGAACAAATTTTTCACTGATAGGATGCTTTTTAACGAGTGTGGGATACATGTAGCTCGCATCTCTTTCTAAGCTGTTCCTTTAGCCCTCTGGAAGTATTTAAACTTACTCTGTAACTAGAAACACTTGAGTCATGGGAGTGYGATGCATGTAAAATTTATGGCAGAGTGATGGAATTTTGACGGAGTACAAGTAGGTGGAGGCTTTTCAAGAGGTGAGGGCAAGGCCAGTGGACAGGTTAGGCACATAGATGGAGAGGGAGTTGATATATTTATTAAATTACTGCTGTGATTCACAGAAGTTGGTTACAAGCAGTTCTTACTCTGTTTTCGTCTCTGTCCTCTCATCAACACGACTCATTATCCCTTAATCTGTCCCTAAAAGAGGAGGGTGGAGTGTAAATTGGTTATTCAGCAAACCCCAAATGGCCCAAAAAGTGRTTTTAACAAGTCTTTCTCCCTTTCTTTCCTGTAAGCAGAGACAGGAGAGGAAAATCAGGATTGTGTGAGTGGGGTGAGATCTAACAGGAGAGTGTGAAAATCTTTAAGAAGAGTGGATGGGATGGTCTGGGCTCCTTTCCTTCTCTCATGAGCAGTGGTTRCACATAACAGAGGAAGCCTTCCCAGCGTGGTGGCAGGTGCTGGATTCCCGCAGTAAACCCCTGCCTCGGTGGGGCGGGTGACAGGCCGGGGTGCCCGGGGAGCCGCTCCCCTCTCCCGGCTGTGCTTTCCCGGCGCTCCAGGACAGGGATCCCCAGCCCCGGGCGCGCTCCCGGCGGGCAGGGCCGGCCCCGCAGCCATGGCCCGGGGGCTGCAGCCGTGTCCCCGCTCCCTGCTCCGCCGGGACCTGCCCCCTCTCCGCCAGGTAACGGGGCCGGGCTCGCCCACCTTGGATGATCCTGCCCCGGAGAGTTGTAGCCGGAGCCAGCCCTGGGTGTTCAGGGAGCTCAGCCTCAGCAGGGAGGGCAGTGAGAGCCAGAGACCAGCGCCAGAGAGTAATTTTTATCTTTATTGTGTTAATACAAAAGAGAGGGATAGGGAAGGAGGAGGAGCCAGCAAGGCTGCGGTTCTCCGGGTGCCATCACCAGCACAAGCATCCCCCACCATCAGTGCCCACTCAGTCACCCCAGGTGAGCAGATTTAACCTGTCCACAGTGCTGCCATCACCACTCAAACCGCTGGCCTGGTCTTGTGTGCTGCAGCGGGGATCCCTCCTCCTCGCAGGAGGGCCCAAGCACCCAGCAACATCACAGAGCATGGTGCAGAAACAYGGGGACAGCGTCAGGATCACTTGGCTGGGGCTCCAGGGGGGCAGACCTGTGGATCAGCGTGGGGTGCTTCTTGAAGGCACCAGGCCAAGCCAGAGGAATCACCACAGAGGTGTCCAGGGATGGCACGTCTGGCTTGGAGCACCCCAGTATCCATAACTCCTCGGCGCTTACATCAAGGGACGCGCTGGTGTCCAGAAAGGATTTTATTGCTGAGATCTCCCACCCRGGTGCTGGCACTTTGCCAAGGGCTGAGAGGTCTCCAGCAAGCTCAGAGCTCTTGAAGAGCAGGCTCTCCGATGGTTTGGAGTGTTTGTCATTCTTGCAAGGTGTGGAGGTGTTCTGTGATGCCAYATTCCCCAGGCAGCAGTCTCTGCTGGGGTGCTCACAGGGCAGGCCAGACAGCTCCAGGGCAGCCTGGCCATGGTGGGCCTTGCAGAAGCAGACCAGGCTGAGGTCAGACATGCCCTGGGTCAGGCTGTGCCTGTCAGGCTTCCCACAGCTGCTCAGAGACTCTGCCTGCTTGACAACACACAGAGAGCTGCCGCTTGCTGTGTTGTCCAAGTCCACGGGAAGCTCCCACATGTCCGGTCTGGAGGCACTGCTGGAGTCCATGTAATAACTCACAACAGGAGAGGAATAGCTTTGGCTGGAGGACCCGGCCAAAAACCCATTTTCTAGGATTTCCTTTCTGGTCAGGATGCTGGTGCTGTGCCGCTGGGTGGACAGCATGGTGTAGAATCCAACAGTCTGGCTTATGGAGAGAGATCAGGATGTGCCTGTCAGAATAAACATATGAAATATTCATTACTGTTCACTAAGAAATTACAGACTTGAACAGCAGGACCACTCTTGGTAAAATCCTGTCTCAGTCTTGTGAGGAGCTGAGCAGGACTCACGACAGGCAGGAGAACATCCAGCCTGGCACTGTCTTTTTGAGCAGAACAGTTGCACCACAGCCTGTTTGTTACTTAGAGGTCATGGTGGAGCCTCCCTGGAGTTATATTTATTTGATATCAGCCTGACACCACTACTCTCAGCTTTGTGCAGGGGATAAGGACATTTTAGCCTCGCTCCTGAGGTCAGAGGGCCACTAATTCCAGCTACAATTGAGGCCCTTTGAGAAAGAGGCACCAAAACCAGGCYCTGAACTGCTCCCTCTGCCAGGAGAGGCTGAGGGACAGCTCTTATTTTATTTTTAGTCCCACATACAGCAATCCTCACTACCAGCTCWGCCAGGAGCTGACTTTCAGCTACCACCTGAGGGACGAGGGCAGGCCAGGGAAGGGGATGGCTATGATCCAAAYGCCTCTTTACTCTGAATGCATGTTAAGCAGTGATAAATAGCTCCTAAATTTACTGTACAGGGGCTGTATAGACAGTCTAAAGGGAAAAGAGACTAAAAACCTTTTCTCTTAGTGTATGAGAAATAAGAAATTAAGGAAAGAACAAAAGCACAGAATAAATAGTACTACTTACCTTCAGCTCCTGTAAAGACCACTTGAAGTTCTTGACCCTTCACTGTTACTTAGAGTGCTTTTGTAGTGCTGGTAATCAATTAACAGGCTGATTTCCTAATTAAACTAGTTTGGGAGAGGGAGGAGCTTCTGTTTGCCTCTTTTTAAGCACAAGGGCCCGGGTAGTGGGCTACAGCTGAGTGATAGAAATGCTCAGTTCTGTGAGGGCTGGGTTATGTTTGTACT